GCTTGGGTCTGGGGGAGGAGGGGCTGGAGCCTGGGCCCTTGGGTCTGATGGAGGAGGGGCTGGAGCCTGGGCCCTTGGGTTTGGTGGAGGCAGCGGCCACGATCAAAGGACCCTGAGTGGATTTAGCCTCCAGGTTCCATCGTTGGCTTGGGTTTCCTCCCGCTCCAGGCAGAACAGAAACGTGGGAAGCGGCAGACTGGCCGGGAGATGAAGCTTAGGATCCTGTCTGAGAGGAAAAAGCCCCTGAACATCGATTACATGGGGGAGGACCAGCTCCGGTACGTGCTTGTTTGTGGCTCTCCTAAGGTTCCCACGGGTGGCGTTCCTTTTCTGGGCCACTGTTGCTTTCTCTGTTCAAAGGGTCACCCAGACGCAAGCTGTTCTGTGACTGGCATGGCCCGTAGAGTCCGGCGGTCATAGTGCCCCTCCCTCACTGAGGTGGAATCCTAGCGTTCAGGAGGTGGAGGCAGGAGGATCAGCAACACACCTTTACATAGTTAAAGTAATAATCCACAACATAAACAAATATAACACATCTTTACCTAGTTAAAGTAACACTCCACAACATACCAACTATACCAAACCCAAAGAGACTTGCTGTGTGGCTTGGGGTAGGTGTCTCAACCTCTCTGGGCCCAGAACACAGCACCCTAGTCCTTCTCGCCCTGCCAGGGAGAAGGCCCAGGAGCTGTCAGAATGGATCCACCAGCTGGAGTCCGAGAAATTTGACCTGATGGAGAAGTTGAAACAACAGAAATACGAGGTGGGACCTGCCTCTCTTGGGGTCCGGGCTCGCTGACAGGGGTGGCCGCGGGGCTTCTGCTGGGCGTCCGTGTCCTAGCCTGGCTTCGTTCTCCACAGATCAACGTGCTGTACAACCGCATCAGCCACGCCCAGAAATTGTGAGCGCCGCCCCCAGCCTCCGCCTAAGGCCTGCCCTGCTCCCTCCCTCCCCCTCCCTTCCTCCTTCCCTCCTCCTCCTTTCCTCCCCCTCTCCCTCCCTCCCTCCTTCCCTCTCCCTCCCCCTTCCCCCTCCCTCCATGGCTTCTGCACACCACCACCCTTTTGGCATCTTATGTCTTTGTTCCTGGCTCCCGCAGACATCCTTTCTGTATCTGCCCTCGTGGGTTTATTCACTTGCTTGTTTGATTTATTTATTATTTCGAGACAGGGCCTTAGTAGCTTAGGCTGGCCTGGAACTCACTATGTAGCCCAGGCTTTCTCTGCACCTGTAGCCGATCCTCTTGCCTCAAGTCAGTGGTATGTGGGAATGATGGACATGACTCACCATTCCTGGGTTTTGTTGTTGTTGTTGGTCTGTCTACTTATTTTTAAGGCAAGGTTTCACGTAGCCCAGTCTCACTAGGTCGCTGAGGCTGGCCTTGAACTCCTGATCCTCTGGCTTCAGCCTCCTGAGTGCTGGGATTATTGGCCTGCACCCCAATGACCCTGATGAGTTGGATTTCTCCTTCTATCTTGTGGGCCCCAGAGATGAAACCCAGGTCCTAGGCTTGGCTGCAAGCACCTTTACCTGCTGAACCATCTCAGTGGCCCCTCTTTTCCTTCCTTCCTCCCTCCCTTCCTTCCTTTCTTCTTCCCTCCCCCTCCTCCTCCTGTCTCTCCACTTCCTGCCCCCTTTCCTTATCTCTATTTCTTGTTATTAAGACAAGGTCTCCGGTAAGCCAGAAAGACCTTGACCTCCATTCACAGTTGAGGCTGTCCTTGAACCCCCGACACTTGCCTGCCTCCACTTCCCAAGTACAGGGATTACAGAACCGTCGTACCTGGATTTTTATTTAAGTCAGGTTCTTGCTATACAACCCAGGTTGTCCTCAGTCTCTTTGTGGTCCTCCCTCTTCATCCTCTTCAGCGCAGAGGGTGCTGCTGTGGTCCTCCAGGTCCAGGCTTCTCGCTGCCTTCTGCTCTGCCTCGGTCTTTTTCTAGCCTTTTCTGGACGGTTCCAGCCTCACTGAGCCCTGTTGCCCACCTTCAGCTCACCCTTCCTTCACCCTCAAGCTCCTTACTGACAAATTTACACTAGTTCTCTGGACTAACCCAAGGAAGTCAACTCCCACATGGCCACCAACCACCAACTGGGCATTACCTGAAAGAGATGCCCTCAGTGGGGGTGTGGCTCAGTGGT